GAAACCTGGGGCCTCACAAATGCTAGGCAATCTCCAGCTCCTTTCATTATAATTTTTAAGATTTTGAATCAGGATCTCACTAAACTGTCCAGGCTGATCTCAAACTTTTAATCCTCCTGCCTCAGGCTCCCAAAGTAGCTACGATTATAGACACGTACCACTGCACCCAGTTGGAAAATAAGTCTTCATACATATATTCTGTCATAAAATTTACACCCCAGGAATAAGCTACAGAAAGAGAGATATGACATTTTATTCTGTGATTTTTTTTCACACCTTGGCACACTACTACATATTCCAGGACCCATAACCTAGAAAAAGAATTTAAGCAAGGATAATGAATGTAACAAGACTTCTACCATATTTATGATAAGAACACAATTTGGTCAATGAAAATCACTTATTTTCTGTAAATATCTATCCATTAGAGTATATGTATGTAGACAGGAGTCTATTCTATGGGATATAAATGAAGATAAATGGAGTTTAGACTGTCCTTTGTAAGTGATTAGAGAATACTCTGACCAGAATTAAGAAAAGAATTCAGTCAAAGTAATCCTATAGCTGCTAATCCCCCAAATATATACCAGGGATCAAATTTTCCCATTAATGTTCTTAGCATATCTAAGGACCATCAGAAACTAGTAATGGTATTAAAGCAAACTTCTGAAAATGCTTAGAGACCATGGCCAAGTTATTGAGACCTAGTTCATCTGTTCAATCCTAATTCATCTGTTTCAAATCCACTTTCATACCACTTCACTGAAGAAGTTTTCATAATAATAATTAAGAGCTAAACCACCTGAACTCAACCCTATGCCTGTCACTTAATCTTCTCAGGTACCCTGTAATGCAAATTTTATAAATCTCCCCTTGGAGATGAGGAAGATGGCTTAAAGAGACCATGTAACCTGCCTAAAGTTACTAATCTGAGCAACAACACCAAGACTCAAACCTATGCCTAAATTAAAGGTCTCAACCACTGCATTATCTTTGCAGGGATTCTCTTAACATTAGTCTAATAATCACTTAGGAACCTTGTTAAAAAGACACTAATTAGGAACCTCTACAGGGTACACAATCAGGATTTCCAGGACTTTCTCAGATTCATAGCAGATTTAGGAACCGCTACAAGTACACAGTGGAATCTGTTTCTTATGCCTAACCCCACCTCCAACTCCCTAGCAGTTTCCATCTCTCCTAAGATATGGGCAAAATTCATTAAATTGGCCTACAAAGCTCTTTTCTTCACAGTCTGTGACTCATTGATCTTTTTTGGTTTCATGTTGCCCTAAGATCCCTTCTTTGTTAGTTTGTCAGTTTCATCATATGGCCTTCCTTTATAGGGTAATTTGTACATGGTGTTCTTTGCCCTGGGATGTTCTCCCCCTCCCCCAGCCCCACCCCCGCTTTCTCTGCTTTCTCTCATCAACACCTGCTCTTTTTCAAGTCTTAATATACTAGACGCTTCCTCAGAGAAACTTGTGTTGACTTCCCTATGTCGAGTGCCTAATTGTAATTTCTCATAACACTATGTATCACATTTGCAACTTAATAAATTCTCTCTCCCACTATGTAAACTGTAAACTTTACAAAGATCAGTTACACTTGGTTTTGCTCATCGTTGTTATCTATGGTACTTTACATGAATTAATAGATTGAATGAATTAATAGATTCAAGGCCTTTTAATTATTTCTTAATCAACCATATTTTCCACTTACATAACAGAGACCTACAGTTTGAATTACAGAACTTAACTCCTCTCATTACTTTTTTAAAATCTTATCCAGAGCCAAGATCTTTTCTACTTCTTCACCTATGTAAATCTTTCTCTGGCTACAAGGTAAAGCCCATTTCCCCTTTCACAAAGTTCTCTTTAATATTCTAGCCCACAGCTGTCTCTTCTGAATTTCCCTATCGTTTGTATTTTTATGCCATTCATTTGGCTCTTTTTCATATGCTGCCATGTTATCATTGCATAATATTTCATATATAAGTACCTTGTTTTATTTTTCTAAATACAAACATTTTAGGGCTCTTAAGGGAGCTTATGGTTTATTTGCTACTAGAGCACCCACGCACATAATAAGTTCCCTAAAACATGTGCTGATGGAATTAATGAAGAATTTTTTGTAGCTTGCTTTGAAGATTCAGCCTATGGTTTGTTTGTTTGTTTTGGTTTTTCTCCGGTACCAGGAACCGAACTCACGACCTTGCGCTTGCCAGGCAGGCGCTTTTGCCGCTGAGCTAAATCCCTAGCCCCCAGCCTATGGTTTATCACCAAATAATCAACAGTTCTCTTCAGAGGGTACCTTACTATGTTATATTATTTCTCTATATTCTTTAGGGAATATCTCCAGGGCCCCTGTTGGTAGACAGTTGAAAACAAGTTATTTTAAATTTCCTAATATATTTACAACAGTTCATAGTCAGGTATTTCTAAATCCATTACTGAATATGAAAACATTCCATAACTCTTTAGGATAAATCTACATTGTTAATCCTTGCTATTGTCCTCTGAAACTGAGACAATCTTTAAGTATTTTAGTACATTAGTTTCTATTAAAAATGTATCTCTTCTGGGTGTGGTGGAGCACGCCTATAATCCCAACACTCCGGAGGCTGAAATAGGAGGACAGACGGAGTTCGAGGCCAGCCAATAGTACATATTAAGCACAAGGCAGCCTGAACTACATAGTGAGACCCTGTCTAGTAAGACCCTGTCTCTCTCTCGCTCTCTCTCTCTCTCTCTCT